TGCCTGAACAAAGCACCCCAGAGCGGGATGGGATGTAGGGACTGGGAGGGATGCAGGGGGTGGGGAGGTTGCAGAGGTGGGAGGGATGCAGGGAATGGGGTGGGATGCAGGGGATGGATGGGATGCAGGGGTGGATGGGATGCAGGGGGTGGATGGGATGCAGGAGGTGGATGGGATGCAGGAGGTGGATGGGATGCAGGAGGTGGATGGGATGCAGGGGTGGATGGGATGCAGGAGGTGGATGGGATGCAGGGGTGGATGGGATGCAGGAGGTGGATGGGATGCAGGAGGTGGATGGGATGCAGGAGGTGGATGGGATGCAGGGGGTGGGGGGGAGGCACTGCAGTCAGATCCAAACGGGAGCAGCCTGACAGATGGGGCTGCCCTACATTTCACCCATGCTTGCAGTTAAGCTGCCTTCCTGTGCCCTCCCCCCCCTCCTCCCCCCCCCGGCCCCAAAACGCTGCGAGTGGAGGAGGTTGGCTCAGGGGTGGCTTTGGGGTGCAGAGACCTGGGGATGCCAATAGGGACTGGCTGCCCCCCAAGCATCTCCCCAGGACATCCCATCCCTCCCAGGACTTTCTGTTTCTCCTCCTTCTCACCAAAGTAACGTGAGCCCACAGGGTTCCCAAGCTCCGATTTTACCCTTGCTGTCAGGTCCCCCCCCTCCCATGCACGCATTGGCACCAGGGAAGCAAAAGAGAACAGGGCTGTGACAGTGGGGACACAGCTGCAGCCTGGCATGATACAGAGTGAGGGTGGGATCCCTGTACCCCACAAGAAACAATTTGGGGCCACAGTTTTCCCCCAGCCTGCAGCATCCTCTGCTCTGAGATGCAGGCTCGTGTCATGCCAGCCCACAGCCAGCCTCAGCCCCTTGCTGGGGAGTGAGTCTGTAACCCTTCCATATGGGGTTTTGGGGTCGGATCCTGCTCCCACTGCAATAGGGCTCTCCCCCATCCCATGGCTGTGGCCATTGGGTGCTCAGTAAGGTTATAAGAAACCAGGGCGATTTCTGTTCCTCCTGAAACTTGACATGAGAGCACAAAACCCACTCAGAAATCTGGGGACAGCAGGGAAATCCCCCATTGGGTCCCCAAAAGCCACCAGCTTTGTGCTCTGCCCCCTCTGCACCGAGGTCCCTGTGTCCCCATGGGGAGCCTGGCTCTTCCAAGCTCTGGAATTCTCCATTTTCAGGCACTTTTCTTGAGCTTCACCCACCACAGTGCTCTGTTTTCTCCCACTTTGGTGCTGTGTTTCCCAATGGGGCTGTGCCCCCCCAGCTGGTGTCATCCCCCCCACATTCATGTCTCTGTTTGAGCATTACCCTGTGTGCTCCGCAGAGGGGCTCAGGCCACCTCCCTGAGCCAGGAGGAGGAAAAACACAGAGGCAGAGAAGAAAAAGGGTTTCTCACCCACTGATGCTCGCCCAGCACCCAAAGCGATGCACGAGGGCAGCAGAAATGCAGGCAGAGCACTGTCAGCCCTGTCCCAGCCACGGGGAGCACCCACATCCCAGGCAGAGCACCCACACACATCGCTGCACCCCCATCCCCACAATCCCATGACGACCATCAGTCCCCATCCACCCTTCCTCTCTTCCCCACATCCCATCGAGGTCCGCACAACCTGAACCCCTCCAGGCAGAGCTCACCACCCCAAAACACAGAACCGGGGGAACCTCGTGCTGTCCCTCCCGTGCAAGCTGAGGTTCTCCCCACCCAGGCAGTGCTGGGTACAGGGGTGCAACTTCTTTCCATTCCGAGGAGATTCCCCGAGCCCCCACGCAGGCGAAAGCGCCGCGGGTTTCCTGCCTGTGGGCGGATGCTATCCTGGGCTGCAGGCACTGCGTGATGCAGGGGGGGCCCTGCTGGGGTTGGGGACGCCGTGTTTCCGCCCCGAGAGCTCACTCACAGCCCCACGTCTTTCTTTGGTTGTTGTTTATTTGAAAGCAGCTTTTCCATCCCTCCGTGAAGGATGGCAATAGGAAGGATGTGGAGCATCCCCAGGTGCTGCGCTCCGGGTGTCACCTTGGGGAGGATGGAGGCATCCTCAGCACCTCAACATCCGAAAGTCACAGTTTGGGGACCACCCAAACCCGAGACCACAAGGCTGCAATGGGCTGGGAAAAATAAACAAACAAACAAACCAACCCAACAATAAAAAACATCAGCGTTCAAAAGAGAAGTGGCATCTTGGAGGGCACAGAGATGTGGCACAGACCACTGTCACCTCCCCGCCCCGCCGCCTGAGCCAAAGGGGTTGGAGGCTTTGTCACCATCAGGTCGATATTTTGCTGAATGGTTTTTGCATTTTTTCACCATTTGCAGGGTTTTGCACAGCTAAAATCCCCCCTCCGAAGTTTCCATCTCAACCCCCCGCCCCCCATTCCACGCTGCACCCCAGCATACAGGGAGGGGAGGAAGATGAGGGGTGTGACGAGAGGAAGGGCACAGAGTGGTGCCCACAGACAGGAGAGAAAGAGGGAAATGGGGTGGGAAAGGGTCGGTGTTGACCCACTGATAAGCCCATGGTTGGGATGGAGTTGTCCACATGGGATGGAGGAGATTAGGATGGAGGGGACACCCTTGGGGACAGCGTGGATATGGGATCCCTGCATGGCCAGCATGAGCCCCAAGGCCACAGCCATCACATAGGGCAGGAGATGGGGACAAAGCAGCTGGAATGGAGGGAGGCTTGGGGTTTTGTTCTGTTTCTTAAGCAAAGACAACAAAAAAAAACAAAACAGGAAGAAAAAAAAAAAAGTGTTTTGAGGGCTTTTTTTTTTCTTTTCCTTTCTCTCTGTTGTTGTTGTTGTCCATAAATAATAATTAACCCCCCCTCATTTCCAGCCCAGACCACTTGTTTTAAATTTCCTGGCTAAAGTGATGTAACAGCTGTGCGTGATGCAACCCCATGTGGAATGCATCATTCAGGAAACCGAGCACAGAACCGCCTTTCTCTCCAAATACTCCACATAGCTCCTTCCCAGCCCCCGCTCTGAGGGGTCCAGGGGTGGGGGTCCCATCCTGCATCCCCCCATTGCCACCCCCTATTGCTCAGACTGCTGCCGTGCCAATGGCTTCAGGGCGTGCTCTGCTTGCTCGCCGTTATTGTTGGACCCCTTTATGTCAGGGGTCCCCGATGGGACCCAACTCCCTATTTGCAGTAGGGAAAATGCAGCCTCCAAAGCCCACCCAGCCCTGTCCTCACGTCTCCCTGTTTGCCCCTCAATCTACCTTCCAAATGGGGTGGACCTGAAGAAAAGAGTGAGAGGAAAGAAAAAAAAAAAAAAAAAGGAAAAAAAAAGGTGAGAAAGGGAAGAAAAAAGAGGAGGAAGGGAAAGAGAAGGAGGAAAGAAAAAAAGAAAAAGAAGAAAAAAGAAGAAGAAGAAAAAAAAAAGGTTGCAGTGGGAAATAAGGAGTCAGAGCTGAGGTATTTCGGCAGCCGGGGCTGGAATGTCTGACTCACAGTGTGACTAAATGCAAATATGAAGCCCAGCTCGTTGCTTAAAGACACCAGGATCCAGTGTGAGCCCACGGAGCATCCGAGCCCCTTTGTCTCCTCTGTGTCCCAAACCTCCTTGCCACCCCACTGGTGTCTCTCCTGTCCCCTCCCTGCTCTGATGGTGGACTGGGGCTAAAGTGGCCCCAAAAGTGGCAGCTCCAAGAGTCACCAGTGGAAGGGACAACAGTTCCAGCCCTGGGATACGGCCCGGCCCACAGCTCGCTGCCATCCACCCATGCACAGACGAAAACATAACGCAGGGCAATGCCCAGAGCAGAAAATGCACAGTTCTGCTGGGTGAGGAGCAGCGAGCATCCCTCCCATGGCCAAAACCCAAGGGCCATTGCTTGGGTCTGCAACCCCAGGAGGGGTTTGGGCTTTTACTGCTCCACCATTGCATGGATCTGCTCAGCCCACTGCAGCAAAGCTCACCCCACAGCACGTCCTCAGTGCCTCAGAGCTCTGCCACAAGCCCTACGGGACAGTTGCACTCCTCTGGCTCCAGGTGTGCAACGTGAGGCAATGATTTGCCCCTCAGCATCACCGGCCCCCAGCACTGCAGCTCCCAGTTGCAGCCCCCAGCATTGCAGCCCCAACACTGCAGCCCCCAGCATCGCAGCCGGCCTTGAGAAAAGGCTCCACTGCAGCCGCAGCCAAACTTTGGGGTGGGAAATGCGCACAGCAGGGTAAGGCAGCAGCTCTGAGGTTTAATCGACATTGCTGACAGGGAAAGCAGGAGGATGGAGCTGTGCGAGGGGAAGGTTTCATTGCCTCGTGTCAGCACACACAGCGCGGGTGAAGGGCTGAGCTGAGGGGCAGCCATCCCACGAGGCTCTGATGGGCACAGGCCTGCGGGACTAGCCGAGAAGGGCGATTTGGACTCGAGGAACCACGAACGGATGGCGCTGGAGAGAGACACGGCAGCTCGCACGGTAACGGGCCCAAACAACGAGCGCAGCGCAACCAACACCCGCCCGCCCGAGCTCTGCGGGAGGTGCGGGCGGCGACACGAACCAGCGGCCGCCCCGAAACGGCGCATTGCTCGGTGGGCGGGGCGTGAGTAACGCGCTGTCCGGTTGGCTGAATAACCCGCCACTCAGAGCGACGAGGCTTTCTATTGGACAACTCCTCGCGGTTCATCACTCCATTTTCCGGTTACGAGTCAGTGGGCTATCAGTCTCCCTCCGCCGTAAAACATAGTCCCAGCCCTCCCCGCAGAGACAACGCTCAGCCTCACAGAAACCACTCCCCCCCCCTCCCCTTCCACCACTCCTCCCCCACGCAGCTCAAAACGCGGCCGCCAACAACTCCTTCCCATCGCCAGCCCCTCGAACTCTCAGAACGGCGGAGGGATACGGCGGAGGGAGGAGTCAAAAGGGGCGTGGCTTCGCGCCTCTGCTCAGTCGCTCGGAGGGAGGGAGGGAAGAGAGAAGGGGGGGGTGGTTGCGCTGGGGCCCGGCGCGCCGGGGGCGGGGGCGCGGGGCGGGCCGGGGCGCACGCGCCGCCCGGGCCGGAGCTCAGCGCGCCGCTTCGCTGCGCCGTACCCCGCCGGCGGCGCAGAACAATAGGAGCCGCCGCCGCCCGCCGGCCCCGCACCGGGCCCGGAACGGGGCCCTGAGCTCCGCGGGACTCTTCATGCCCGGCCGCCGCTCCTCCCCGCGCACACGCACCGCGGGCTCGGTTCGGTCCAGGAAAAGGTAATAAAACAAACGGACGTTAAGAAACGATTTTTTTTTTTTAATAAATAAATTAAAAAAAAAAACAACAATAATATCTACGCTGTGCCCCCCCCCCCCCTCCTTTCACCTCCCCCCACCCTCCTCCTCCCCCCTCTCCCCCCAACCTCCTGGTGTTCAGCCGTGAAACGGGACGGCCGCCAACTTCTATTCCCCCCCCCCCCCCCCCCAGTCCGGAGCTCCATTGTCCGCAGAGTTCGGCCGAGCCCCGGGGGGGGGGGGGGGGGGAAAAGGGGAAGAACCCCCTATAAACCCATTCGAGTCCCCGTGAGCGATGTGTTTGTGTGTGTGGGGGGGGGGGGGGGGGGGGGGGCAGCTCCTCTTCTTCGAGCAGTCCTGCATATAGAGTTTAAAAGCCACCTCCCCCCCCAAATTCATCTCCCCCATCTGTAGGACTGGGGGGGGGCGGGGATCTCTGTGCCCCTCTTGGAAAGTTGTGCAGGAGGTGGGGGGGGGGGCCCTCTAGGCTGGGGGAGCGGTTGTTGTGATCTCCCCCCCCCCCCCCCCCCACACGCACACGATGGGGTTATGGGGGGGGGGGGGGGGGGTCCGGTTGGGCCTTAGCACAGCTTGGGAGTGATTTGGGGTTTTTGGGGGGGGGGGGGGGGGGCGGCTTTTTGGGTCTCCCAATACAGCGCGAGGATCGGGACCCCCACCCTGGGTTGGCCTTATAGGAACTGGGGGGTCCACAAGGCGATATGACACCCCCCCCCCACCTTTTCCTTTCTAGGTTGAGCTCCCACCCAGCTTAGGCCTGAGTCCCAGCTCTTTGTGCCCCATCACAAGTTTGGGGGGGGCGCTGAGTGTAGTATTGATGAGAGGTTTTGGGGTGCTTTAAAGCCCCCCCCCCATCCAATCCAGGGACCCCCCCGGGCTGTTCTCCAGCCTTTGTGCTGCTGCGGGAGCGGAGAGAGCCGGGAGAGGGCAGGGCTGGGCGTCCCGGGACGCAGCTTTGGGCTGAAAGTAAAGGGGGATGGGGGGAAAAGTGGAGAGAGGAAAATGATTAAAAAGCAATAATTAAAGAAAATAGACAGGGAAAGGGCAGATTTTTTTTTAAAGGAGCGGGAGAAAAGGAGAGAAAAAAAAAAAAGGGGAGAAAGAAAATGAAGGAGCAGACTGAACGGTGGGCTGCGTTGTTAAAGTTGTACTTGGGGGGGGGTCCTGGGGGGGGTCCCTGTGTCCAGCGGGTGTAGGTGCTCTAAAAGTAACATCCTTACACAACCCCCCCCCCCCCCCCAATCCCTTTTTTTTAATTATTTTTTTTTTTAAATTATTATTTTTTTATTGTTAATTTAGTGATGGAAGCTTTCCTGTGCTGGTTTCGCTGGTTTTATTTTGTTGTGTTGGGTTTATTTTATTTTTTTTTTAGTATAAAACTTCATTGCAATGTGGCTGCGGCCCCACAAACACTTTGGGCTGCATGCAGTTGTCTCTTTTTTTCTTCTCCTTCATCCTTTTTTTTTTTTTACCCTTATGATTAATGAGTTAAATGCATTGGCCAGCTGCCCTTTATAGCCATGAATGAGTTCCTAAAATGGGGGGGGGGGGTAGAAAGGGGGCAATAAAAAAAAATAAAGAAAAAAAAAAAGGGATCTTTCATCTCCTCCCAGACCCCTGCCTCCCTCCCAAGGAAATGTTTTTCTATTGCAGTGACTCCTCCAAAAGGATCAATCTCCCCTTTAGGGGCAAAAATAATAAATAATAATAATAACAACCTGTAAATTTGGAAGAAGAACATTTACCCGTTTCACCAGGATGCCCGAAGGGTTCTGTTTTTGCAACGCTGTCTGAAAACTGCTTTTTCTTTTTCTTTTCTTTCTCCTCTTTTTGGGAGGGGGGCCGGGCTTTGCTCCTCCCTGCTCAGGGCATCCCCGTGAGCACAGCTGCAGGTGCTCAGCAGCCTCAGGGAGGCAGCCAGAAGTTCAGACCTTTGGGTTTTTTGTTGTTTTGCTTTTCCTTCTTTCTCATTTTTATAACTGGGCAAGGAGAAGCACCAGAAGAGGGGGAAGCACAAGGCGAGCCAAGCCAGACAAGCACCCGAGTGATAACTCACCCTGAACCCTTTGATAAACGAGTTCACTTGTTTTCCCCCCCCTCCCCTCCTCCCCTTTTCTTCTTTTTTTCCCCTTCATTCGCCGCACGCCAAGAACAGAATTGGCCCAAACGAGTGCAATTGGCAGCAAAAAACCAACATCCAAGTGTGTCTGGTCAATAGAGCTCTTGTTCCTGTGCTGGGTGCTGTGTGAAGGCTCTGCCCGCAGCCTCTGTGTGTTGGGAACGTGCATTGGAGTTGTGTTTTCTTTCCCTTTTCTCTCTCTCTCTGTCTTTTTTAAATATTCATCAATGGGGTGGGTGGTTGGCTCCAGTCATTAAAATATCTCTTTCCCCTCCCCCTTGCTTTCTCTAGGACTGCCACTGTTGAGTCTGTGGGAGTATGAATCAGCAGCAGCAGAGAATGGCTGCAGTTGGGACAGACAAAGAGCTCAGTGACCTGCTGGACTTCAGTATGGTGAGCGAAGGCGCCCGGGGGGGCTTTAAAGGGCCCGGGGCTGTGGGGAGGGAGCTGGGAAGGGGAGGAAATGTGAGCCTGTAAATTGGACATGATGGGTTTCAGATGTGCCCTGTTTGTGTGCGTGCACATGTGCTGCAACTTGTTTATTTTTAAGTTAAAGCGAAACTGCTGCCCCTCCTGGTCCCTCCCCTCACCCCCCAACCCCCCCCCAACCCTCACTTTCCCCTTCCAAGCGTGGTGTTTCCTCGCAGGGAGCACTCAGAGGTGCTTTTTCAGATGGGAAATTCGAGGGCAATGTAAGGCAGCGAGCTCCGTGTTGGTGCTGATGGTGCAGAGTGCTGGGTGGCTGCTGCTGCCGCCCTGGCTGTGGACCTGATGCAGAGCTGTAAGTTCAGTAGCCGATCAATCAGCCTTTTTTTTTTCCTCTCCCCAACCCCAGACTATTAAACTTTTGCTCCCGCAGGTTATTCTATCTCAGTTTGAAATGTATCCAAGCTCTCCAGCTCATGATTTCAGCAGGACTCAGGCACTCGTGTTCCCCTCTCTCTGCTTTTCTGTAGCCTGGAAACCTTCAGCTGCGTTTTGAGCGCTGTTTTTCAAAGAAACAGGACCTAAAAGTTCCCCCATATGGGGATGTGTGCAGCTCAGGGGGAAGAGAAGTCCCACAGAGCTTGGCCAGGGTTTGTGCCCAGTGTTTGGTGACGTATGGCGTTCTGCACATCGTGCTACAGCAGGGCTGGCAGGTGTAACTGCAGAGGGGAGAGCTGCGTTCAAAGGAGAATAACTCTGTTGGGTTCCTCGGTTGTGGGCTGCACCCTCAGGGTGCTCACAGCTCGTGTCTTGCTTTTAAGATAAGCCTTGGTGCTGCAGAGATAGAGAAAGCAGCTCAATGGGAGGAGCGGCCTCAGTGCTGCTGCTGGGGGGGCTGGGGGCACCCGGCCCCGGGCTGGGTTTTGTTGCACCTTGAGGGAGAGGAAAGGAGGGAAATGGCAGCAAAATGAGGGGCACCCACTGTGCTTGTTGTGCCTGTGGGAAGTGCTGAAGCGTGGCAGCGTTTTGGTGAGGTTGAGCAGTGGGAGCTTTTGTAGGGCTGAGGTGTCTGCCTGTCCCTGTGTGCTGGGGGGGAGGTGAGGTCTCCATCCCGTGTCATAGCAATTTGCAGAGGTCCGGTTTGCTTCGTCCTGTTGGGATGCTGTTCAGCAGTGCCATGTTCTGTGGGTGTTGTGGGCACTGGGTGAGGTGGACGTGTGAGCTCAGGGTTTGCTGGAAGTGCTGCATGGTTACTCCTGTTCTCGTCCCTGGGGTCCTGCTCTGAGCAGTGCCATCCCCTGCACCCATTTGAAGCAGTGCTGGGGGTCAGGCTGTGTTAGTTCCTCTCCTGCTTTGCTTTTTCTCTTAACAAAAAAGAAAGAAAATCAAATCCCACTCGCTTTCAGAAACCCGAAGCTTTATTTCCAAATTACCAAACCAGCTTCATTTGCATGCTGAGAGCCGTATTCCACGGAGAGGTCCTGACCCGTTCCCTCTGTATCTGAATATTTCTCTTCTTGGAGACTAATCTTCAGCCAGGGGTTGAATTTGGGTTCAATTCCAGCCCTCCTACGCTGGTGTAAACCTGGGGAATGACCAGAATTTGTCCTGGGCTCGTCTGAGGCTCCGACGTTTGGGGGCGGCCGTTTGAGGGATCAGGGCCTGCAAATGTCATTTGCCAGCGACTGATTCGAAGACATTCCCCTCCCTGTGGGATCAGTTGGCTGCTGGGCTCCAGCACAGCCTGGAGTTAAGCCAGGTCCATTTCACAAACCCTCAGCTCCGCACACCCCGAGCCTGCGTAAAGGGAATGGGAACGGCGCTCCTGTGGGATGCAGAGCAAAAACTAAATGCTTCCTAGCGAGTGGTTGGGCTGCACCCCGCGTCCTGGGTTGCTTTGTGTCATTGGGATGCAGGGTTTGGGGCCAGAAAGCTCACTCAGAAATGTGTGTACGTAAATATATTCGTATGGGGTATTTTGGAATAAGCAGGAGTGGAGCATTGAACCACTGATGAAGGATGGAGGAAAACTGGAGGCATTTGGAGATGCTGGAGGCGTTTTGCTTCAAAGCAGTGCTTTGATTCTTTGTTGTTTTTTTCTTTCCTTTCACCCCCTGTAGGCTGTGGTCCCACTCTGTGCTGTGCATTAAGTGAGCCTCATGGCTCTGCACGGTCAGGGCTGTGAGCAGTCAGTGTGAACAGGCTCGTAGCCTTAAGACTCTTTAATAAATACATCAGGTAATTACTGAGCTGCAAAGCGCTCACCTACAGCTTTTCCACCACCATCAGTTGACAATGAGAGCGAAAAACCAAAGGAATCTGTGATGTGCATCTGGGTGAGCAGGAGCCAAGCGTGTGGCTGGGAGGGCTGATGCAGCTCTGGGCTGTGCACCGTGCAGTGCTTCCCTCCTCCTCAGAACAAATTGCTTTCTATAATTGCCCCAAAGTGCAGGTAATTTGTACGCTTGCTTTCACCACTGTTCCCTGGCCATGGTCCAGAGCGGGCTTGCAAATCTGGAGGAGAGCTTCAAGAAAGCACCCTGCCTATTGATTCCCATTGCCAGCTCTGTGCTGTTTTGTTTCTGGTTTGTTTTTTTTTTTGCAGATGCTCGTTTGGGTGCTGTATTTTTATTATTATTTTTTTTTGGTCTAGTAGTTGCCAGGCTCTGTTTTGCAGTGTGGGATGCACATGGTGTGTGTGTGTGTGTGTGTTGGGAGGTACTTGGTGTGGTCATCCTGGCCCCCACGCTGCTGGTGTTGTCACGTCCTGGGAAGGGCTGAAGGATCCCTGATGGGGATGGGGGTCCGTAGGGTGGGAATCCTGGCTGTGGGGCTCACCCGTAGTGCCAAGCTGGAGAGCAGCAGGAGGCTGCGTGCCAGCCTGGGTCTCTGGCAGGAGTGAAACACTGTTAACAGCCATGATTATTAGCAGAGTATTAACCATATGCTGCAGGATGCGGGGTTCTGACTCGGTGAGGGTGGGCAGAGGGTGAGCAGTCACCCAGCAAGCGATCCAACCCTTGAGATGAGGGTGAACCCAAAGCATTCCAGCGGCTCCTGCAGCACAGCAGCACCCAGTGCCCAGCTCTGGCCAAGGCACAGCATCTGCGTTTCCGTGATAAAACTGCTGCTTTTGTTCCAAGTGAGGTTTGCCTTACGCCGCTGTGGATGTTGGGGCTGCAGTCAGGAAGGTCTGTCTGGAATGAGCACGTCTGAAATATCCTGCTGGCAGCGGCAGGGAGCGAATTCCCTCTTCTCCCCGCATCAGCAGCTGGATGCCTTCCACTCTGCAAAATAGATCTAGGGTTGGGAGCTCAGCCCTGAGGTCGGTGCAGCCCGGATTCGGGAGGTGGGAGAGCAGAGGAAGTGAGAACAGCCATTTAATGTGAGAACACTGATGCTCCGGTGGAAGTGCCCAATAAATGAGGTGCTGTGACTGGGTCTGGCAAATTCCCTTTCTTACGAGTCCGCCGCTGGGAGCGCGGGGGCTGGGACTTCCTGAGTGTTTGGGTTTCTTGTGCTCTGGGTTTGCATCTGGGAGAAGTGCCCAAGGAGGCTGCGGATGCCCCATCCCTGCAGGCATTCAAAGCCAGGCTGGATGTGGCTCTGGGCAGCCTGGTCTGCTGGTTGGTGACCCTGCACACACGGCAGGGGGGTTGAAAAGGGGGTTTGCAACCCAGGCCGTTCTATGATGCTGTGATAAAGGCAGCAGTGTGGGCTCAGAGCTGCGAGGACGCACTTTTGGCAGTGTCAGATCCAGCACGGGGAGGACTTAAGATGGGGGATTTCACACAACCGCTTAAATCGACGGGATTCAAATCCAACAAAGGCCCTGTAATGACCCAATTACCGAGCCTGGGAGGCTGTGCCGGGTCCCCCCGGTGTGTGCCAGCCTCCCCCTTCCTCCCCCTGTTTATTTTTGAAGCTGAGTTTCAAGCAGAAAGGAAACTCGCTGTGGGTGGGTGAACCTGGGCTGCGAGTGACACAGGCGGGCGCTTGGAGGGTGACTGTGCCCCACTGCTCCACACAGCCCACACTGCGGTGGAAAAACAGGTTGGCAGCAAAAACAGCCACCCCAAAAAAAAACCAAAAAGTGATGCTGGGAGCCCTCAAAAAAGATGCAAAGCGAGCAGTCGGGGTTCCCTCCTCCGCGGTCCCTTGGAGGGGAGGACAGGAACCGCGGGGGCGAGGGCATCCCTGCGGGTTGGGGATTGCCCGGGGGGGGACCCCGCTTTGCAGAGCGCAGTGGAACAAGGCTGCTCATTCTCTCCACTCGAAGCCTTCCTCTGCCAGCATCAGCAAGTCGTGTGAGCAGAAACGCTCGTGACGAAGAGCCGGCGGTGCTTTTTTGCTGTTGTGTTTTCACTGCTGGTGATTGTGATGTTTGCCTCGTGCATCGAATCACAGAATGGCCTGGGTCGAAAAGGAGCACAACGCTCATCCAGTTCCAACCCCCTGCTGTGTGCAGGGTGACCAACCAGCAGCTCAGGCTGCCCAGAGCCACATCCAGCCTGGCTTTGAATGCCTGCAGGGATGGGGCATCCACAGCCTCCTTGGGCAGCCTGTTCCAGTGCGTCCACACGTGTGGCACCTCCTCTTGGAAAAGGGCTTTTGACCTCTTTGCTTTCTTGCCCTGTAGCAGGGATGGAGGTGGGCACAGCTCGGGGCAGCCGTGCAGGTTCTGCTTTCCATCCTTTCAGAGCTATTTGCAGAAAACGCCGTGGCACTGCAGAGGGAGGCAGGCTGCGAGCCTCAGCGCTGTCAGAGTTGGTTTCTTTTGTAGCCCGACTTCCTGAGGAAGCAAAGCTTGTGTAGCAGTGGGGGCCAGGCTCTCAGAGGCCCCCCCAGAGCTCCAGACCCCAGGCAGCAGCTGGGGGGGTACAGGGCTGCTGGGAGCCCCTGTGCGCTCAGACAGCACCCACACCTCTATGTAAAGTGTGTATAATGCCTGCAGTGTGCATACGTATCTATGATCCCAAATGTCTGCTTTTTGAATGGCTGTTGGTTTCCTCGCTGCTCTCTTTGCATCCATACTGTGTGTAGCTGTGTTTTGTCCTCACCAGCGTTTGTAACTGGGCTGGTTCTGTATGAAGCAGCTCCTCTGGCCATGGGCAGAGAGCAGTGATGTGATGTCAGGGCACGGAGCTGCCTTCCTGCAAGCTCTGCTGCCGTTGCATCGTTTAATGTTCAAAGCATTAAACTTTGGAGTTACTCAGACATTGCACAGTGAAAAAATAATAACAGTTGGAATGGCTGGTGGTGAAAGTAACTGGAGTGGCAGAGGATATGAAAATGTGAATTCAGCAGGCGTTTCCCACCGCTGGTTTTATTGGCTGCGGAGGAGAATCAGCTTTCTGCTGCACGCAGGTGCATCTCAGATGTTAAATAGCAGCTTCTGAAGGCCTCCCTGCTCGCACCACAAATGTTCATGCAGGTTTGCTGATGGTGGGAGCTCCCTGGTTGAGGATGAGGGCAGCAGCAGTGCAGCAACCAACAGCCAGCGCCGCCCAGTTGGCCAAATGCATTCGTGTCGTTCACAGTGGGTTTAAATGCTTCTGTGCCGGGTGCTGCCCATCACCCTGGGAGTGTTGTATGAATGAAAGCAGCCCCATTGGGTGCCCTTTGGTCCGAATGAAGCACTTGGGGAAGGAGCTGTGGGTTCTGATGCTGCTTGGATGGCTCTCAGGCACACCTAAGGAACCAGACGTGCTGTGTACACAGGAGTTTGTGCACGTAGGAATGTGTGTGTGTGCATCTGCACGCAGCTGTGCTGCTCTCCTGGCCCTCCTGCAGCTGATGTGTGCAGCAGGGGCACGAGGAGAGGAAAGGTTTTTGCATCAGTAAAGCACTCCTTTTTTCTCCCCTCATCCCCCCCTCCCCTCCCTGCCCGGTGTTGACCCCCTCTTTGCAGCAGCACGGCAAAACTCACAGACTGAAATCTCCTTTCTCTCTCATCTTTCTGTTTTTCTAGATGTTTCCCCTGCCAGTGGCTAATGGAAAAAACAGACCCACGACCCTAGCAAGCACTCAGTTTGGAGGATCAGGTATTGTCATCTTCAATTTTATCTTTTTTTTTTCTTAACAACATAAAGTAATAAATGTGTATTTGCTTCCAGAGCCCTGAATGGAGCGGGTTCAGTAGTTCTGTGTGTTTTTCTGGTGGCTGTTTGCTGCTGTTTCTTGGGATGGTCTCTGTTGCCCCAACTATCTATGGTCAGGCAGAGGGCTTGTGCTGGGCAGACAGTCTGTGCTGGTCTGTTAAGCTGCTTAGATGAACACATGTCTGCAGATGTACAGAGAAAAATCTTCCAGGGTGTACAGACACCACTGAGGAGATGCTTTGGTGATGCTCTGCTGTCCAAAAGGTGTGACTGGGATGTCTGCCCTGCTCAGCTCCCTGCTGCAGGTATGATGGATCTCTCTGTTCCCAAAGGTTCCTTTTGCAAAGCCCTCCTGGTCACCCACTCCCAGGCAGCACGGAGGTGGCAGCAGGGCTGTGTGAAGCTGCTGCATGAGCCCATATGCAAGCATTGGGCTGCTGAGTCCATCCCACTGGGCTGCAGCTGTGCAGGGAAGAGGCTCCCCCCATCCCTTAAAGGGGTTTGGGAACCCAGCCAGCTGTGATAAAGGGTTCACTGAAGGGCATGGAGCTTTCAGATGTCAGAAAGGAGCATGGTGGGGATTCATTTGGGGCTGAAGTGGGGAATCTGGGGACAGCACTGTGCCAGGCTTTTGCTGCTGTGTTCTACGCAGCACTCGCTGCAGGAAGCTGGGATGCATAAAACTTGATCTTCTCAGCCCCAGCTTCACTTGAGCTATCCAGGGACCTCCTGGCCATGCTGACAGCAGCACCTGTGTCCAACCCTTGGGACCACTTCTGGCAGGGAGCAATGATGGAGCAGCTTTTGGGGGCTCACAGGGATGTGCAGCGTGTGAGGGGTGCTCTGCCCTGTTCTGCCGTGCCCTTTCAGCACAGAGCTTTCACCCTGCTCAGCTGCTTGTCAGGATGGCTTTGAGCAGACACTTTCTCGGGGAGGTAAGCCATTGAATGAGCGCTGGAGGAAAGGGAGGAGATTCAAGGGCAGAAACTCTCAGCTTATAACCCAAATGGAAGCTGAGCTCCGCAGCAAGCATTCCGACATGTGCGTATGTTGCCTGTGACCTCTGCCGTTCAAACAATCCACCCAAGACATGCTACATGAGAGAGAACAGCCCTGGAGTGAGCTCCCATTAATTCGTTTCCTGCTCAGAGGCTGCCTTGGCTGCAGGCTCTACAGGGCTGGCCAGAGGGGAGGCTGCAGGCAGGGCTGTGCTCAGCAGCCATGCATTGACTGGACCCCCCTCTGCTTGGCTGGGCAGCCGCTGGAACAACACAAATTCTTTTTTTTTCCTTTCTTTTTTCCCCCCCCCCCCTCTCTTTTCTTTCGGGTGACTGAAAGGTAATGTTGACACCACCCTTCCTCTGGGCTGCTGCTTTTTGAATCTGGCTGTGAGCAGTTCATAAAAACAGAGGGCTGATATTATACAACAGGGGTTGCACAATCGCTGCCGTCCCCGTCTGGAGACCGTGGGACAGCTCTGTCCTGCAGCCTGGCTTGGGTTGCTGCAGCCACAGCATTGCCCTTCAGCTTCTTTGTCCTTAATGCTCTTTGGAGAATGGGAGCTGTGTTTGGGACTTCCCTCTTACCCCTGGTGTCTGAGGATGGGTTTTTTGCTGGCTGGGGGAATAGCTGCAGGGAGATGCTGATGAGATGTGCTGTGTGCAGGGGTGCAGTGCAGCTTCTGGAAGGATCCATGCTGTCTAAATGAGGTCCTAGACAGTGGCAAGGGCTGGTTTTCATAGTTTGTGGGCACTGGTTTTGCTTAATTTAACATTGCTATCTCATCATTACAACAACCCCAAGATAACAAACCGATGTTATCTGACGTGCCGCAAACAACGATATTCCATGCTTCTGCCCACCATTGGAAATGTGAATTCGTGGCCCCTCACTCTTCATCTCCCTCCTCCACAGTCCCAGGGCTGTTAACTTTCTACCTCTGAGGATCTCAAGGCTCCAAGCTGTGCCCTTTGGGCAACAGCAGGTGGTGGGAGCCGTGCGCTGCTCCCTGCCCGTCACTGTGCCCCATTCACCACGAGAAGGCTCTCACTTCCCGAGCCCAGCTGGTCGGTAAAGAGATGCAGCGCTATGAGAAAACCTCCCCAAGTTTAAATCCTTTCCAAATCCCAATTAATAAGTGCCTTGGCTGCCCCAGAGCGCGTGGGTGGCCCCGGGAGGGGGACCTGCTGCACTCCGGAGCCAGGAAACTCAAAAGTGTTAACACAAGCCCTTCAGCTCCGAGATCTCTTTGCTTTTATATTTGTCTCCTGGTTTTATTTTAAGCTCTGCCACTGTTTCCCTCATTTCTGTCCTCAAATGCACCAGGGAGGAACTGGTTTAGCTATCCCGCTGCCTGGACAATTCAGCACCTCCGCTCTGCGCTTTTTTGGCACGACGCAACCCAACAATTGCCACTAGGATGGAGCTGACGTCATGCAGGCCACAGCCACAGCATTTATAGCATGGAGGTTGGCCTTCCTGAGGCTGTGAGCTGCAAGAAGCATTTTCCAGCCTTGGCCGTGCTGTTTGCTGCTGGCATTTTAGCCCTGGTGCTCAGCGTGCGCCTGTCATCTCACTCCTAGAAGGATGGGGTTTTGTCATCCCTGTGCCACGCTGTGCCATCCCTGTGCTGCATCTGTGTCCCCATCTCGTGGTTTGCAGAGGACCACTCCAAGCTGAAGGCTCTGCCCCACTGTGTTTACTGAAGCTGCACCCCTAGCAGGGAGCTGCGTGCTGAGCTGGGCATGGAAATAAGCATTTCTCATTGACATTTAACACAGGAGGAGTGATGGGAGGCAAAGAGACCACAGTGTCTCTTTGCAGTGTCTTTTCTTTCTAGCTTTGTGCTAAAGGGAGCTCCTGTGCTCAGGATCTCTCAGGTGGGCTCAGAAGGGGGGTGGTTTTCTCCCGGTCTGCAGATCCACCCCCAAAATGTGTTCAGTGCCTTTTTGCTGGGGAGACTGGGAGACAAGGCTGGCTGTTAGGGGATTGCTTTGATCGGGGCAAGTTCATGAAGTACATCTGAAGCTGGCGAAGCAGAGAGCTTTTCAAAGAGTTACAAGCTGGTGCATGTAACAGATTTTAAGTTACAGTCTCCCGAACAAAGCGAATGCATTCTCCCTGGAGGCAGGTGAGTCTGTATGCCCTTTGAAAGCCTGCTTTCAACAGCATTCAAACTTGGATACCTGTGGCAACAGCACCGAGAGTAATAAATCCTCTGTAAGATGAGGGTGCCTGTGTCATTGGTGCTACAGGTGAGCTGCTGGAAGGTTTAATGAGGGTGTGTGTGCATGCAGCCGTGGGTCAGGATTCAGGATCACAGTGGAGGCAGTGGGGTTGGAGCACTGTGCTGGCAGCAAGAGGCTTTCAGGCTGCAGAACGGCATTTGCAACTATTTGCCATAGTGAGGAAAAGAGAAGCTTTTATTAGTAAGGCTGTATCACGTTTCCCTACAAACAGCCTCGAGTCCCCACATGTTTTGCTTGTGCTGAAGTGGGAGTGATGGGCTGTGCTTGCTATTTTGATACGTGATGGAAGGCAGACGTGAGGGATGCAATATGGGACTTGCAGTTTGGAACTGGCACTTCCCATGGCAGCGTGTCCCTCGGGCTGCCTGTGTGTCACGTGTGTGTCACCAAAGCAGGAGCTGCCACGGGCGAGGAGTCGATCAGAGAGTTCTGTTGGCATCACAGCATCTTCCAAATACAAATGACTTCTGGCCGTTATCAAAGGAAGGACAAATCCCTTACTGTAGACAAGACAAAGCCTGGAAAGAAGCAATTGTCTGCTGCTCTGTGCAGCCCAGGAGTGTTTCCATGCCTGGGTGTAGGAGGGTGCTGAGGGCAACACCCCACGCTCCCAGCCTGGCCCTTCCAGTAACGGAGCCAGGAGGACTTTCAGGGAAGTTCTCCCACGTGCTGCAGGCGGTGCTTTGAAGGGCTTTCAGCTGTGCTTTGTCTGTGTCTTCGGGAGGCTCCTGTTCTCCCTCCTCTCCCTGATCTCACCCTGGGGTGGATCAGGTTAAGGATGCAGAAAATAGGAGTTGAAAAAGAGGAAAAAAAAAGAACCCACAAAAACATGAAAACAATCCTGAAAGTAGGGTTGGAGATGGGGAACGTGGGTCAGCAGGCGTGGGGAAACAAAAGGCTTCACTTCTACGTCCCTTCAGCCCTGTAGCCCTGACGTGGGGCGCCCCATGGAGTGCCTCCCATACCAAGTGCTCCCCCTGCACCTCTGCAACTTATATCAGTTTCTGTTCCTTTTCATCCAATCTGTTTTATTTTTCCCTTGGGCTTCCTGTGCAGGGAGGGAGGCCATCCCAAGGGACCAGGTTTGTGATGGGTGCAGTGCAGGAGAGCGCAGAAAGGTGATGCTCCAAGGTGAGCTCAGCACTCAGAAGTCTCACTGCCAGCTTTGGTGTGCCAAGATTTAGGGTGAGAGGGTGCATACATGCAGGGGAAGGAGATTTTTACTCATCTCCCACCCCGGGGAAGGGTCCTTCTGGCCAGATTTTGAGATTTCAAACCAGAAGAGGGCCCAGGGAATGGCAGGTGATGCCAGAGAGCCAACACTGCACTGAGATAAGAGACAGCTTTTGTTTAGAAACCGCAAATGCGACACAGCCCTTGTTTAAGCACACAGCTTTAACTTTGCCACGGAGTTGGAGCAGTGCAAGCATCTCCTGCCATAGAGCTTCCCCTTCCCAAGATGAGGCCATGCAGACCTGGTGAAACTCTGCCTGCTCGAGGGCTTGTGATGGGGGCAGTGCTCCTGTGCCTCACCTGGCATAGAGCTGGAGTGGGAGTTCTCCTTCTGCCTTTCAAAAGAAGCTGCACCTGCTTTCTTTTAATAAAAGGAGGTGGTGCCTAATGCTGTTGCATTGCTTAGGCTGCTGTTGCCTCGATCACAAGGGATCCCGTTAAAATGATCAGCAGCATGCTAAG